ATTTTGCATATATATATATACACTAAATAGTGTGTGTTTGTGTATATATCTATATATACACTAAGTGTATATATCTATATATATAATCTAAGATTTTGTATTTTTCACTCATACAAAAAAAAAGTTCCTTATATGTCAGAATAGTCCTTCAATCTCACAGTGCATGCTGGTACACTTCAACATTTCATTCTGTGTTGAGCTATCTGTGAACCACAGAGAATGTCAATTAAGGCAAGGAAGGATTTACAGCGAAAAGAAACTGCCTATTGATTAGTTCTTTTGTTTCTTTGTACTTGCTTTGCAGGCCAAAGTTCAAAAAACATCAGTTCATCTCCAAGCATAGAGAGCTTGTCTGGAGGACGTGAATTTACAGGATCTCCACCTTTGTCTGCATCCAAAAAGGATTCCTTTTTCAGTACAATCTCCCGCTCCCGTTCCCAAAGCAAAACTATGAGCAGAAAAGAATCGGTGGGTTAACTTTTTTAAGTTGTTTTATGGTCACACTGCATTACTTGTTAGAGGCAATCATTTCTCACGTTCATTAAGCACTTGCACTTGGAAATGTTTCCCTAAGCACACAGTAATGGCAAAATCAGAAATAAGCTATTTCAACTGTTTCTGTTAAGTAACAGCTCCGTTATGGCTTCCATCCCATAATCCTACCTGAAGTGAAACAGTGAAAGCTCCTGTTGTCTCTGAGAAAGAGAAGTCTTGTGAGTTTACTTGCTTTCTTAGACTGTTGGTGTAGTCCTGAAGTTATTAAACTGTTCGGTGGGAAGCACAAATGTTCAGCAGATCCAAACATGTCCATCTGTTGTCCCTGAAATTCCTTAATACATCAGAGGTTTCCCAGTGTCTGTAGCATCTGTAGTCTGCAGTCACAGTTCTATTTCTTGCACAGCTCTGACCTTCCGTTTGGCCACAATAAACTATTATTTAAACAGATTATTCTCATCCAAGAAAATCAACTCTTGTCATGGATGTGTTCCAAAGAAATTCTTATCCCATCAAAGATATTTTAGCAGCACTGATAAACCTCATATGCCATGGAGCAGGAGGGCTCATTTATTTTGTATACGCGTTTCTCATTGTCCTTCTGTTCATTAGAAATCAGTTACATAATAGAAAGGAGAAGTTGTATTTTTTGTAAGGTGAAGACATAGTGTTTTTCTCCATTTCATTTTCACAAATGTATGCTCATAAAACTTCCTATTAATTTCAATTAATAGGAATTGTGATAGCAATATTTCTGTATTACAGCATTCTTCAGGTGTTCAGAGCTAAATGGCATGCAGAAATTTAATCTGAACACCTCAGCATTTTTGTCTTTAGTAGTCACATCATATTCTCAATTTGCTATTTAAAGTGTTCTAATGAAATGCACAACTTTGTGCAACTTTGTTCAGTTTTGTTCACTGATAGAGAATGTTCAATTCTTGTTTTGCGTGCTTTAACGTTGCCTAAAGGAAGGCTGTGTTTTGTGGTCAGTAAGAAGCTATAATTTTGGTTTGTGTCCATTTAAGGCATGTTGAATGGAAGTTAAAGCTAAAACAACTTGATATCTCTCTGCTTGTTGTCATGAGTTGAAGAAAAATATACCAGTGCTGAACTTCTGTTTTGGTGTGGTTTAACCAGATATAAATCCAGCTCTCTTCTGCTACTTTTGTCCAGGCCAGAACTTGGGTTTTTTGCACTTGTATGGTCTAAGAATAATTCCTCCTTAGTTCTCTAACAGGAGACATAAAAGAATTTGCCATTAAAATATGCAAACTTAATGATTAATGATTAATGTGTTTTCCAGGTAAATAATTTCCCAAATTTGTGATATTTCATTAATTTTTTTTCAAGGACCTTAGACAAAGAAGTATCATTGGAACAGATTGGTAGTCCTTACAATAATTTTCACTAAACTGGTAACTGTGATAAATTAAACAGAGCATAAATTTTCAGAAGAACTCTTTGAATTGGGATGTGTAATTTGTATTGTAGCATTTTATGAAAATGCTAGAAAAGGTTTTAGGCTACCAAAATCTATTTCCTCATGTTTAGTGTTTGCCTGACCTTTAATATAGGAAAGAGGAACTTGTAACAGCTTCAAGAGGAAAAGATTTGTTTAAGTCTGTTCTGTGTTACTCAAGATGCTGTTTATTTTTTGTTTTCCTGTAAATTTCATTGATACTTGAAGAAAATCCCTGAAAGTCCATCCTGAGGTCCCAAAATAGTTGCATCAGAATTCTCCTGTCTTACAGTTGCTTCGCTTACAGCTGTTTTGTGGAGGCAAAAAGCTTGTAAACATAATGGAATCACATCTTTGTTTAATTTATAAAACTGAACTGATTCATTTCTACTCTAATCATATAGATTATATTGTTACCTGTGGGGGAAATCACCTGGATAGGAACATGACCATGCATCAATCACTATATCAAAAGATGATTTTAAAATCAGTTATTCTTGCTGTAACGGATGAAAGAGAATCCATTTCCTCTTCTTCTTTGTACTTCTAATTAGTACCCTTCACAAGCAAAGCAGAAATGAAATACATACATAAAAATATATCTTTCATTATAGAGTTAAAGAAAGTGAGTTTCACAGTCCAGAGGACATTACTGTAACATTGTCACGGGATGAGCAGGAATATCATCATTGCAGGTCGCACCTGGAGTCCTGTGTCCATTTCTGGGTTCCCCAGTACAAGACAGACATGGAGATACTGGAGAGAGTCCAGCAAAGGGCCACTAAGATGATGAAGGGGCTGGAGCATTTCTCCTATGAGGAAAGGCTGAGAGAGCTGGGACTGATCAGCCTGGAGAAAAGAAGAATCATGCGGGTCTCATCAATGGATCTAAATGCCTGAGAGAAGTTGCAAAGAAGGCAGAGCCAGAACCAGAGGCCGCTGGGCACAAGCAGAAATACAGGGGGCTCTGGCTGAGCATCACAAAACGTTTTTTCAGTGTGAGGGTGACCAAGCACTGATGCAGGTTGCCAAAGGAGGTGTGGAGTCTCCATCTTTGGAGACAGATATTCAAAAAGCCATCTGGACATGGTCCTTGGTAGCCTGGTCTAGGTGACCCTGCTTGAGCAGGAGGTTGGATGAGATGAGCTTCAGAGGTCCCTTCCAATCTCAAGCAGTCTAGGATTCTGTGACAGGATAAACTGGAATGTGAGTTTTTGTCTTTCCTAAAGCTGGTCTAACAAATTTGTCTTTCTCTGTGAGAGTTGTGATCAAAAATGATCCATTGCTTCTAAAAATAAGATATGTCCATATCGCATGTTACGGACTTCTTAAGGTTGTATTGTTTGTGTTATATTTAGTCTTCTAGATTTTTTTTCCTCTGAAACTCAATGATCAATGGAAAGAGTTTTTTACTGCTCTTGTCAGAAACAGATGTTCCCTGGTTTATTTAGTTAAGAAAGTAAGTCTACAGCCTCAGGGCTGAATGCACAGCATCAGATCATGTTTTGGCAACCCATGGCAGCCTGATGTTTTTCACATTACTGTTCAGTGGCACTCAGCTGTACGTTAACATGAGGCCCACCAAATGTGCTTGAAAACCTGTTTTGTGCTCAGCAGTGAGATGGTTCTCTACCTCTTTGCATAGTTTGTGAGTTTCTGACAGGAATAACTTCAGTTGCAGTTTCTGGAGCTATCTTCTCATAAACAAGAACAGGAGTTTTTAATCTATAACACACTCCAGTTCCTATTATCTTCTGGCTGGGTCAGTCTTGCTTGGAATAAAGTCCTAGATAATTTTCCTCTCATAGCCTGCCTACTGCGCTCTCCTTTTCAAAAGAGTTGGGAAATTGAGTCCATTTATTTCTCATTATGTTTCATTTACATCTCCAGCAACCATTAAGGATAGTCTACCCCTCTTTCGGGCAAATAGAAAAGCTGGCTAGACATTGATTCTGGCAAATATGGTTGGCTGGTCTTAATTTCTGGCAAAATATTCTGTAAATTGCTTTCAGACGTAGAGGGAACTTTGAGTGGAACAATCCTAAACATTTTTAAAACTTTAATTAAAAACAATATAGGAGAAAGGTGGTTTTGACTGAAAAAAAAGTTTTGATGTGGGGAAGTTGTATATTTTAATAAGTAAATTTCTACATTAGAAGTTTGAATATAAGAAAACTCAAATTATCCACCAGAAAAATATGTTATTTTAAAAAAATCCTGAGGAGGAAACATTTCTAGGGAAATCTGAAGGAGTTTTATTTTTCTTTACTAAAATAATTTGCAGACATAGTCAACCAGAACTTTCATTTCTTAGCAAAAAAATCATGAACAAAAGTGTCATGCATCACAGTGGGTTTGATTGCACAGACTTTTTAATTAAATCAGATTTGACAACATATGCTGTTGTCCCCACAAGCAGGTGTAAGCAACTGTTACTGTCTGGGATTTACATAGCTAGTCTGACTGACTTGAAGGTAGTTATGAGTACCCCTACAGGTTAGAAAATTAATGTATGCCATTATTTTCGATTAAATAGACATCTGCTCTACTCATCTAGGAACCTGATTTTAAGCATTCCAACTTGACAGTTTTGCTCAAGTAGAAGCGGTACACCAAAATCAAAGAGAGAGTAAAATAAATACTAGACAATCACACACACCAAAAAAAAAAAAGTCATGCATGGATAAAGTCCTTTGAAGAATAGCATGCCTTTTGTGCATGGTACACATCTTAAAGGCATTTTTTATTCCCATATATCATTTCCCTATTATTTTTTAAATCTCTTTGAAAGTTTTTAAGCAAAATGCTTGTCAGTCCATGTTAATCAATGCCAAACTTTTATTTGGAAATACAAATGCCATGATGAAATATCCTTTTTTAGTTAAGCATCATAAAATGTGCTGAGAATAAGTTAGCATCTGTGTACAATTGCTTGATCAGTATGTTGGATTTGTTAGGCCTAAAGTTAAAGATGTGATGATGTAAGTTTAATGAATTTCAGTGCCTTAAAGTTTAATTTCAATAAATACTGGAGGACATTTGTCTTCCTTATTTTAATGTGGTAGGCCAATTCAGACACCTAAGGAAATGCAATTTATTTAGTACTGCAGTGCTTATATAATTTTAGGGATAGATGAAAAGAATATTAAATCTGAGATACTTCCAGGTCATGTGAACAGAATTCATAGGAAAAGCTCTGAGATATTTGGAAAGTGCAATTCTCTTCTCCATTGCCTTCCTCAGGCTCCCACAACACGTTGTAGCTCAGATGAAAGAGCTGAAAGCAGCACAAGGAAAAATAAGCTGCCTTACAGAGTTTTTTGTTAGAAATAGCAAGTTTCATATAATTTAGTAAAATGACAGCTGTATGCATGAGTGGCAGCTTTGAATCTTAATGCCCCTTTTTTAGAGTGATTCATTTCAGGGAAAAGAAACTGTACTGTGATAAAAACAGGAAGTAAATTGCTTAGAATAAAAGATGAACAAACCCCCAAGTGGCTCTGCAGTGCTT